CATCAGATCCGCCGCGGGGGCTGGGGGAGCAGCCACTGAACTTCACAGTTGAGTGGATGCTGTCCTGGCCCCCCATGGCCCCTGGGTAGCGGACTCGGGGGAGTTCGTTGCCCAGCATAAAGGGGCCCGGGATGGAAGGCTCGTCTGGTGTTCGGCGAGCCTCACATTCGGAGTCGGGGGACCGATGTGTCTCCCTTCTCGAGGAAGGGCTGCGCAGGGCGCGGCCAGCCGCTGGTGGGGGCGCGGACGAGTGCAACAGCGTACCCGTACCCCCACCTACAGCGGAGAGGAGGAACACTCCGGGGGTTTAGTGCGGTCGGGCTGCTCCCCTTCAGGGTTCAGCCCAGTCCCACATAACCCCGGCTCTGCCCCCGCGGGGCCGAGGTATCTGTAAGCAGATTCCCCCGGATTAACAAAAAAAAAAAAGGTATACTAGTGGTCACACTGGTAAAAGGCGCGTATCTGCACTAAACCAAATTTTACAGGAGAGAGAATTAACGTTATTATTTTGTTATTTCAATGGCTCTGACTTTCATTATTGCACAATAAATGTTAATTTATGTCGTCTATGAACTGATAACAATAAATCACGCGAATTTGATTCGGTCACTAAATTGCAGAAACGGAAACTCATAATAAGGAAATTCGGGTGCAAATGGTGATATTATAAATGATGTTCGGAAGAAAAAGCCCTTTTTTTTCCTTGCGCCGCCGCGAGGAATTCAGGTTCTTTGGAGGCGTTGCGAGCGGTGCTGCACCATAGGTACCTAAAGCCGGCACTGTCCTGAACTATCAGACTTATTTCCACCACATAGAAAAAACAGGTTTTGAGTGTTAAAAGTTCATAAAATCAAAATCCTTCGTCATGCAATAAACTACATTGTAAAATATTTGTGATACACCATGGTACACTCAAGAATCATCATCATTCATCAATCATTCAATAGATACAATAAAAAATATTAAATTAAGAATAACTCGCTCATATAACACACCTCCACAAACACCATAATTAAAATTCTAAAATATTAAACATTTTACTTACGGCGTTTTATACTTGCGCGGCATGATTGCTCATTGTTTACCTGTCCATTAATTTACTGAACTTGCTCCACTTAAAGACCTATTTTGCGAAAGGAAAACCTTTCCTATGATTGATAGGCAACAAAATCTATCAATGCCGCAATTTACAATGTTACAGACATAAACATTGCACTCAAACTTCATTATCAATGTTATTGTTGTGGATACACTGAGTGATCAGATCACTTATAACTTTCTAGAATGAATAAGATTTTTATTATGATAAAGTGACGGGACGAGCAAGTCGTGCACCTGGTGGTAAGCGACACGCCTGTCCATAGCAGTTGCAGTGTCACTCAATTTTAAATCGCAAAATTCGGACAGGCGTCACCCTGAGATATAAGTTGACATGTACCATGTGCCTGAAATTTCACCAGCACCCTAACCGTAACCAGAACGCCGTAATGCTCACACTACTGCTTGTAGGCAGAAATTGGTAAGATTTTTGTTTATTTGTGCCATTTTGTGCATAAATAACGCATCAGCCACTTAATCTCAATAATATAAATAATAAATATCAATTTACTGCCTCTGTGGCCGAACGGTTACCATGCCGGACTGCCACGCAGAGGTCCCAGGTTCGATTCCCGGGCCGGGAGAAATATTTGTATGGCCTACATTTATTTCTCTCGTGAGTTTGGGTGTAATTTGTGGTTGTCTATGTGTGTCCATGGCACCCGCAACACAGGGTTTCCCTAGTGCGGGGCTATGTTGAGTGTGTGCGTTATTATTATTAAATCTTAATAGTTTCCTGGACATCTACGTCGTATATTAGATGACGTTCGAAACATAGCTTCAAGATCTTTCAGCGCTTCTTGAGGGTATGGGCAGTGGTACAATGGATCAATGAGGAAGGGATAATTTACATTGCAGCGGAACGGACTGGAAGTGATTTTTTGTAACCATAACATAATGAGCCTTCTTCTGAAAAATTGCTGCTACGTATCTAGTTTGTACGTAACACAATTGACATAAAGTTATTTGGGCTGTGTACAAAACTTCGCTTCCATTCCGTTTCGAAGCATTGTAAACTGCGGGAAATAATAAGATGAAAAACATCAACGGTAGTAGAATCAGCTCAAGGCTGCCACTATTGTCATCATCACGCCAAAGTAGAGCTTTTTCAAATTTCAATGTGGACAAATTAGAAAGAGTTATGTTAGTATATTATTTTATAAGTCAAGGTTAGAATGAACGCTTGTAAGTCACTTATCGCTAGAGTGACTGCTGCTAACTAGGTTGCATACAAATAATAAAAATTAATCTAGTTTTAAACACATTATTTAATTCTAATTATTTCACTTCACAATAACGTTTCATTCTCGCCCTTATAATGGAACATCATAAAGTCCACAACTTGAAATCACGTTCACGGTTTGTACATATTTAAGAAGACTGCTCTTAATGTGTTGAATTCTTAAATCACGTGGTGTTCTTGCCGACAGAAAGGAATCCGGAGGTGTTTGAGAAATACTTGGCGTTCGCTTCGTTGATTCGAGTTTCTGCCGCTTGGGGGTTCACGATTTCCAGGCCCTGGAACAAAATTTAAATTATAGTATTGTGTGTGGGTGCATCACCTTCTTCCACAATGAAATGTTCCAGATGGAGTCAGGTTTGGGATACCTTCTGAGTTTCTCATAAGCAGTAATATTATTTATTTCAAAAGAAAACCTAACATAACGTCTTCAAAGAAACAAAAAAAACAACAGAGTATCAAAGTTGTATCAGTGTATCAGGCCGTGCCATCTAGCAGCCCGCTGACTGTTTGCCGATTTAAATACCATAAAAATATAGACTTTGTTCATATTTTCATTAAGCCTCTACATTGCTAAGATAGTAAGATATTTATTTTAAAATTCCTCTGTAGTGTGACCAACTATACTAATATCTAGGCGCGTACTTTCAACGTGTAAATTACTATTACAAAGAGTTGAGTCAATAACTGAAACCTCACAAACTTATAAAACTGACCATATTTTTACGCTGAATAACGACTCTAATTTATACAAATACGTTAACTATCATAGACCATTTTACTGTGGCCGTAGGCAAATGTATACTCCAGGCTAGACAGATAATACCTATCCCCCTATTCACAGCAGACCGTTGGCATTACTGTTGCCATTCTACATGATTGCAATGCAGATTGTGATTACAGTCGTCCATCGTCGGCGCAGCGTTCTAACAACGTCATACAAAGTGGACAAGTAAGGCAATGCGAGGTAATGACTATTCATTTAATACATGTTTATCACGTAAGAGTTTTTGCTCTATTCTAAGGGGCAATTAGGTTCAATTTGACACATCATTCATGCGAATCCGAGATTTTATCTGTAATGATTGGGGGAGTTAATGACGAGACCTAATCTCTACATTTCATCTGGTGACGGTACATGAGTGACGTTTTAGCTCCTTATCAATCTTGTTTAGCGGTTTGTCTATGAGTCTATCTTCTTTATCTAGAGATTTCATCAAAATAGTTTTGAAGGAGAGTACAAAAAGGAAATAAAAAAATATTATAATAAAAGCAACCAATGTGGAAACAGGTTGTTGACAACTTTCTTCATAGTATTAGATAGACAAGAGCGTTACGAGGTCGTAATCGCGTAACATAAACACAAAAAAATACAGTCGAAATGAGAACCTTCTCCTTTTTTTAAAAAGTCGGTTAAAAAGCTGACTAAAAATTAAAATACAATGAAATTAATTTCACTAAATTTCAATAAAACATAGAGTAATTAAGATGTTGATAGAACCGTCGCCGACACGAATACCAACGGGAAATAACAACGGGATAAAGGCTTAGATAAATTGAACGTTAAACACTAAAGCCTAGGTCAAGGGCCAGTAGCACAATTATTAACAGATGCACGGTATGCCGAAGCTGCAGCGACTCGCGTATAATGTGCAATAGCATGTTTGAAGGCAGTTTGTCAAATTCAGTCACGCAAAGAGCGTATAGACAACACAAAAATTACATACTCGAAAAAAAAATGTTATAGTTGTTCTAAAAATTGACCGCTGAGGGCGATTACTCCATAAAGCCGTACCTGACCATGGGTTGTCACACGATAGACATAGATAAATAGTAGGCTCAATAAATCAATGCAAATTCAAATCAAAATTGTCACTCGCGTTAGACCCGTGACGGTCTCTCGCACGTTCATTGCCTTGGTTCGGTCCCGCTTCACGCAGCGCGGACTTTCTGAGGCCCTGAGATAATATGCCAACATTATAAATCTCTGGATATAAATCAACAAAAAAGACTTGTTCTATATTTATTTCACCGATCCATTTGCAGATTTCCACAACATTAAATTATGAGAAAGTGAATTCAAAGAAAGTGAGTTTGTATTTAAATAAATAAGAACTTAATTAAATTGAGGTCTTTTAACATCGACTTAGGACGGTCCCTTCTTTTATGTCACGAATCTTCATGGATACTTCTGCCCGACTTGACGGTGTTTCGTCCCGTCGTTTCTTCATCTTTCTAAACATCGACTTAATACTCAACGTTTATTGAAACAAAATCGGAAAATGATTTATTTTGTAAAGATTTTGAGACAGAGCAGAAACGATTGAAAAATATCTTTTTGAATATTGAAAAATTTTTTTTTATTAATAAATAAAAAAAAACTTTTTCAAATTTACGAAATTTTTACGAATAATAATTTACGAATTTACAATAGCGCAAAATCATCCTGTACCTACCTATTAGAAGGAAATTAAAACAAAGAAGGAAAAAATGACAGCCGACTAATTAATTCACTTCAAAAAAGGAGGAGGTTCACAATTCGACTGTATTTTTTTTTGCATGTACGCGATTACTCCGGCTATTTGTGAACCGATTTTGATGTTTCTTTTTTTTATTGGAAAAAGGTTACTTCAGTATTGGTCCCATTCAAATTTGAAGAAAATATTACACCACTAAAGGATGAATCTGGTTTCGCGCTCTTTCCGGTAACCGATTCCACAAACTTTAGTGGTTAGTTTTTTTTTCTATAAAAAAAATTAGAATTATTTTTGTTATATCGAGTTCTTAGGTTTTCGCGATTGGTACACATAGGAAATGAAACTATTTTTCCGGATTTAAATCGCGTATATTTGTTGTTACAAACAAACCGACGTTTCGGGCCCTTTACAGGTCCCATGGGACCTGTAAACGTCGGTTTGTTTGAAAAAACAAATATACGCGATTTAAATCCGGAAAAATAGTTTCATTTCCTATATTTTTGTTATGATATGTTTATTATACGTTTGAACAAAACACTGCATTATGTTAGAAATTTTACTAGTGTTCTACTAAATGTGCCGGTGTGTGTAGTTGAAGGGCAACAAAAGTTGCATTAAGGTGTACATCTAGGACAGTATTTATTCAGCCATTCCGCAATGTAAGCTAACGGACGCCCGTGGTGCTCTGACGCCAGCTGGTCGGAGGATAGGCTATTAGCCGCCTATTTCCCGCCTGTCGGCTAACCGGGTGTGGTTACAGTAATTTACTCTCTGCCGCGGATTTGCCGACCACACGTTGCAATACCTTGAGGTAGCAAGTATACTAAACGAGGTATAACAACGGGTGTGGTTTACTTAGGTAGTGTGAGAGTTATCAAGTAACGGAATGAACAAGTGGTGCGCCTGGTGGCAAGCGATGCGCCTGTCTATAGCAGAAGCTGGGATCCGAGGAGCACTTCCACCCTTTCTGCAAGCATCATCATGATATTTTCGTTCCTTATTAACAAGAGATATTGTTTCTAAACCATTCGCAACCGTACGTAATGTAGAAGTTAAAGACATATGTACATGTCGTTACCGGGATTTGAACCATCAACGTCTTAATTAAACTAATTCTTCTATGTAGTCAAATTTCTTTCTATGAAATAATTTTTTTTTTTTGGACATCGCTGTGTTACACTTTTTATTTATTTTTTTACTATGCTATATCAAGTTAACTATTACAGTTTATGTTAGTGATGATGACTAACATAATAGCCCTTAACATTAATGGTAAAGCCATATTCTTTACATTTTTAGTGTCAAGCTTTCTGTCTGTCTGCACCGCACTGCCACTGTGCCCGTCATCCTGAGACAAAGTTGACAAGTCCCATGTAAATTCACCTACACCCTTAGCCTTCAAAACCGGAACGCAGTAATAAATAGCAGTAAAGGCGACAGGAATAGGTAAGGTGACAGTTGTTCCCATAGTATAAAGGGCGCACTATAACTTTCCGGAACTGGCCACTTACAAAAACAATATTTAAAAAGTAATTACAACATTTGCAAATGGAACTCTTTGGCTGAAGAATACAGTTTGTTTCATCTGACTGTCACTTGTTTTTATATTGTGGCGTCATTTTAGAACTTGGTTGTCTACATCACAATGGATTTAACTCTTGAAAATTTTCGTAGTATGATTTTCTACGACTTTAAGTGTAACTTAACAGCTCAGCGGAGCTTCGCTCGGCTTCAAACTGCTTTTGGCGATGAAGCACCATGCAAGATGACTATTTATAGCTGGTTTGCAGAATTGAACGCGTTTGAACGCGGTCCTGTGAATCTATGACGAATTTCGTGATGGTCGTCCGTCCACTGCTGTGAACAACAAAAAGACTCAAAAAACGAATCGCGTCACTTAGTGCAATGCCATGCTTACCAGACTCAACGAAGGGGCGTCAAATTGGGTGTGGGACATAGTAACAAGTGACGAAACATAAATTTATAGTTACGATCCCAAAACAAAGCAGTAATCGAGCGTATGGGTCTTTGGAGACGAGCCGAAACCGACCAAAGTGGCGCGCGTGCAAAGTGCCTCTAAGCGGATGATTGCTTCTTTTTTTAATAATGCTAGACACGTGGCTACTGTTGCTTTGGAGAATCGTTGTACCGTGAATAGTGATTGGTACACGACCATTTTTTTGCCGGAAGTTATTGACAAACTCCGTAAAAATAACCGTAAACGCCGTATCATCTTGCACCACGATAATGCCAGTTCTCACACGGCCAGACAGACAAATGAATTTTTGAAAGTGAACAACGTTGACCTTATGAGCCATCCTGCGTACAGTCTCGACCTGGCATCTTGTGACTTTTATTTATTTCCAAAAATTAAGAACCAGTTACGCGGTCAACGACTTTCATCACCTGAAGAGGCTGTCGAAGAGTACGAAAAATATGTTTCAGATATTGTCACGGAGGAGTGTCATAAATGTTTTCAAAATTGATTCATTCGTACGAAAATGTGCATTAACGCTAACGGAGAATATTTTGAGAAACAATAAATTCATTTCTGACCATTTATAGTATTTCTTTCTTATTCATTCCGGAAACTTATAGTGTGCACCACGTATAACGAAACAAAACACAGCGACAGACGACCCTATAATTATTCGAATATTTTAGACTATCGCCTCTATGGCCAAAACGATAAATGTTGAATTTTAAATGGGATAGGCGATATTCCTCGGCAATGACATGGTCAGCCGGGGTTAAGAAACGGCGTACGAGGCTTTCCCTATTGAGCAGCAGCGCTTTCTGCA